TCTCGAGCGAGTGTCTTACAGTATTTCTTATTTTAAAAAAGCCGGTACCACGTCCTAGGATTTGCCTTAAACATAATGGCAAGCCGGTTCTCAACAACCTCTCTTTTGATTGGTCCGTCTGCCGTTGGAACTGGATTAATGACGCACTGACGTTTCGCAACCAAGAGTCCTCCTTACACCATCAGTACGTTTCAGTACTGAGACACGGAGCGTCAACATGTTTCACGACTTTTTTTTATGACGTCTGCATGTTAAAATTGCTCACGACCTTTTTTATTATCTGTGTTGGAAAACAAGTGTGTGGGCTCGAGCCACGAATAGAGAAAACCGAGTACAGCACAGCACTGACAGCCTCAGTGACATTGATTCGGTGCTGAATGCTCTCGCTTTGTGCTGCTGACCCACAGTATCCTCCACAGTATTTTTAGTACATTTATTTAGTTTAGTCTCTTTCACGGAGAAAACCACTAACTAGTCCTAAAATAACATTAAAGGGCCCACAGCATACAAATTTAGGTCCACTGTTTGTGTTAACTCATTTGTACATTACCACCTTATCTCCTAGAATTAAAGAGGCTGTTTAACAACATGTTCTGATTGGCTTCCCTCATTCAAAAAGCCGTCTGAGCTCAAACACCCCTTATAACGCTGTATAGCTCAGAAGTGGGCAGCCGGAGCTCGAGTTACGTCATTCAGGCTACTAACTGGGGGTCAGATATGTTTCTCTTCTACTTCCAATAAAAATAACAGGGATATTCGCAGGGTGTTTCAAAGAGATATTATTTCTAATCCTTATGCAGTTACATACTGGAATATTCTTATAAAAATCTTGACTGGAAAAATATTTCTATTTTACCTTCTAAATATCTGTTAACCAATAAAATAAAGTCTCTTACAAAATTATACGCCGATGTTATCCAGTCAACCAGTTTCTTGCTAAATTTAGAAAGAATGTCAATGTCAACTGTTCTTTTTGTGAATGTAAACCCAGAAACTCTTCTACACCTCTTCTGGCACTGCACCCACACAAAAAAGCTCAGGAAGGATGTATGTAGATCTGTCTTGGACTGTACTGATCCTGATTTTAATCTTTGCCCAGGTTATGTGTTGTTTGGCTTCAGTCATTATAAAAATAATAAAGCTAAAGAATATTATATTAGTAATATGATCATTCTTATGGCAAAATGTCATTCATAAATGTAAATTTACTCATTCAAGACCAGATTTTCTCAAATTTGAAATAGAAGTTAAACAATACATAGCTTCTGTTACCTTCTCCAAAAACAAAACCTTCTCCTCACTTCATATATTTTTGTAAAATGTGTTCTGTCCCCTGGCTCTTTTCTTTTCTTTTTTTTTTTAAATTGTTGTTGAAAATTTATTGTTTGAAATTATTACAATATTTTCTGTTTATGCAGTTTGTTATCTGACATAACTACATTTTTCCACTGTATACTGCATTTGTACAAATATAAAGTTACAAAGTCCTAAAAAAGTTTAGTTTTCATATATGCACTATACGGACGGGAAGTGAGCAGTATGTTTTGAAACTTAAACACTGTTTGCATGCTACATTAATATTGTCATAGTTTTAAATTGATTATCCATGGTATGGGCTCTCTAAACCTATTCATTCTATTCAGCTTTTAACTCTTCTCTGTACTGTACTTAGCACTGATTCTACTGTTTTCACTGGTCATATTGATCCATGCCATCAACTTTCATTTTATATCAGGACAATTACAAATGTTACTTTACAAACTGCGAAAATGCCATTGTTATCATCTAAATTATTTATAAGGAACATTTATGGTTAACAGTTGTTATTTGCTTTTTGAAAACCTGTAAGGTGCTGTGTTTAAGAGAAAGAGAGGAAGTTTTGGAGGAAAGCTCCTCTTTAGGTAAAATTTTAAAGGGGTCATTGTAACATGGAGTGTACAAAAGGGTTCATGTGGCCTGCACTGCGCTTCCAAAACTATTGTGACTTAAAAATCTTTTATTTTTTTGGAATTAAATAGGAATCCCACTGATTTTCACAAAGGATCTGCATAATTGAATGGTTATGATATAAACAAATTCTTTCAGAGTGGTTTGATGTGAAATGCACGTCACTTTTGAAGTTATTACATTTAATTGTTACAGATGTTCTGTCTGATGCCTGAGACATTGTTTTACAATAGTTTTGAGAAGGTTTTGTCTTAAAACATATTTTTAAAAATACATTCATGGTGGAGAGGTATGTGCATTGTAAGGCAAAGTAGTACCTTAAGAAAACTTTTTTTTTCCATATCTACCATTGTTTTACTATTATCGGCATTACATATAAAACTCAGAAGACACGTGTAGGTTCACTAGTAGTTTTGGATAGAAAATAAAGTGGCTTTTGTGACCCCTGTTCCTGTCACTACCACTGTGAAGAGATTCTCTGTAATGAACCATCTAACAACCAAACCATGAATTAATTTATTTCAACGATTCTAAAGCATAAAGTCCAGAACCAGCTGGTTCTGAGAGAGTTTCTTTCCCCGGGCCATTAGGATGCTGAACAGCCAGTAGTGCCGGTGTATCAGTCTATAGGCCTGTGACTACACCTCTCAATCATAATGATGATCTCCATTGACAATCAACACATCCACATCTCAACATACTCACTCTGATCTTACTGCACCTTCAATCTAGCAATCTATGCTTACACCTATAGACTGACCTCTTGTACATCTTCTGTCCATATTTTGTATAATCTGGAACACTTCCATATCAATATTTTATCCCCTGTGTACCTGCATTTCATTTATTTATCTACCTCTGACTCACTAACTGCACCTATGGAAATGTGTACAACAGTACGTCATAGTTTTATTTCATAACTTATTACTATACAACTGTACATAGTGCAATATATTGTGTATGTGTATATATTTAGTCTAATGTGTACATATATATATATTCTAAAACGTGATTTGATTTGATTGAATTACAAAGAATTTTTAAAAATCTGTGGATTCCACTATAAGCATGAGAAAGTGATCTCTATGGCCAGCTTTAAATGGAGAAAAGTGAAACATCTAAAACCTCTAATCTTCATGACAGCGGTATATGTCATAATTGCTGGCTGTCTTCTGCTGCTGCTACTGTTTTCAGTATGCAACATACCCATATTCATTTCATGTTATACAGTGTCAGAAACCACATAAGCAAGTCTTTTTGAGATTACTTAACAACTTGACAGAGCTTTGCTGAACTATCACTATAAAATGTGCAGTGCAGGCGGAACTGAGGATCAGGACAGTGAAATATTGTTTTAAATGATTTGGCTAACTGACAAATCCTGCTTTGTTGAACAATCCCCTTTGGTGGCTATGCTGCTGCTACAGTAATTCCTGATTTGTTACATTATAATGCCTTTTTAAAAACATAAATACAATAATTCCCTTCTATTTACCTCATATGCAGACTTTAGGCTGTTAAAGTCAACCTAAAATCAAAATGGACCATTTTTTGACTTTGTCATATTCCTGGCCATGTTAAGAATGATTCATCATATCATTACAAGACAAAAGTTTTGTTTTTTCATAATTATTGGTCAAAGTATAGTGACTCTTCCTCCCCTGTAAAATGTCTTTTGAGTTGTGTTATATCATCATGCACTAGCAGAAAGGGAAAAAATAATTTGAACCAATAATAACGTTTAACCAGAAATTATCTGCTAGTTCCAAGACCCTCTCTTCGAGCGTTTCACTCAAATATGACACGGTACTGAAGAAAAATGCACACATTCACATTAACTGTAACTTGTTCTTTAAAGAAATGGTTCACAAAATTTAATATACACATATTTCCCCAAACCCTAAACACAAGTTTGCACTGAAGATATGAAGCTAACCTGGCTAACAAATCTATTTCCACCCAAAAGACTTTTTCCAAAACTTTTTACAAAAAAATCAGGAGATGAAACTTCAAAAAGTTTGCCGAAGGCAACAGACATGGAAATAGACAGTAATATTTTATGAATCTCGACAAAACCTTTTTCCATTTGAATTTAGCAGAAGATTGTTAATCGATACCTGAAGTGTTGCAAACACCAACAAGGTACTAAAGAAAAAAGGTACTAAATTGTCACCCTCCAGGGTCTGTGTTCAGTACCTTTAGTCAGGGAACATAATTGTATCATATTCTATTGCAGTAATATTTTTTTAATCGCAGTGACTCTATACACCTTGTCTTGAATCCAGGTTTTTTATATTATTGTTTTTTAAAGCATTGGGTTATGAAAAGGCACAAATACGTGCCTTTTTCTCAGGGTAAAACCTGTTTAAGGCACACAGTTGGACCACAAGACCACTGTCGTATCTTTGAATGTATATTTACATTGTTTCTACCTTGATGAACAGAAATATACCTGTGCAGTACCACGTTTTCTGACAGTGTATGTTGGAAAGATTGGACTTTGTTTTCAGAGAACATAACGCATTCACATATTAGACAAAAACATTTTAAAAAGTAGCGTTAACACATTTTAGCTCTTACAGAGACAGAAGTCCAGAAGGGGTTACAGCCTTTACAAATGGAAAGTGCTCAACCAGCTCCATATGTCAGAAAATCTCAATGTCTTACATTATGGTTCCAATGGGGAAAAAAATAATATGATAATGATCATACAAAATAAAAAAAAATAAAATAAAATAAAAATTTCTTATCAGTGGGTTACAGGGAAGCCAGGGAAGCCAAAGGTACATAGATTGCAACATACATTAAATTAGATATGGAAAACACAACCTACTTATGGACAAAACTTGTGTTTTTGACAGGAAATGATGTCGATATGTAAGGCATTTTTATGGCTAAACGTTTGATGGAAACAAGCTGCTGGGCAACAAAAGTGCAAAAATTATTTTAGTTTGGACACCAAACATGTCTTAGTCGATCGACTATGTTTAGGGTCAAGGGTGAAAATGTATAAATTGTGCAGATTTTTCGGTGAACCATTCCTTCAAACCATGTCAACAGCGTAAAATAGACTTTATTAACTGCAGTACAGCCACACACAGAAATAAGACTCCAAAACACATTGTTTCAGTATATTTATATTATATCATCACCATCATCACCACCATTATTATTTTTGTATTATCATTATTATTATTATTAATTATTATTAAATTCAACGTAGTACCTGAAACTAATTACACAGAGTGGACAACTGTCCACCTCAACACACGGTCCCAGCACAGAGAGAGAGAGAAAGAGAGAGAGAGAGAGAGAGAAAAAGGCACAAATAGAAGTTCAAAAGTAGTGGGGTAGAGGGAAAGAAAAAGTGACAGGGCAATACAGAGGTGTAAAAACTGAATGAGCAGAGGACAGAAAAGAGGGCTACAATGGTAAAGTGAAGGAAATGATTAGGAAGGTAAATGGTAGGCACTAAACTGGGTGGTGGACATGGTGATGCAACACAGAACCAGGCACAAAACCAAGACTGGCACAGAATGAAGGGAAATGACATAACACAGAAAAGGCACGGGGAGATAAGGGCTATTTTATCCTCATCTTTTTTCTTCTCTTAAACATTTTCTTTAAATGTGAGGAAACTGTAGTGGGACAGGCTGAGGGAGATTACAAGCAATATAAAAAGGCACAAAAAACTTCTGCAACTCGAAAAAAAAAATCTGGAGACCAAAAATAATGCATACATTGAGTATACAACATATAACAAAGGCATTTTTAAAAACAGAACCAATAAAAAATAAAATTAATACTATTATTTAGAGAATTATTACTATTATAATTATTACCACGGTTACCATCCTTGTCAGCATAATCAATAAGAAACTATTTCTCTTGTAAATTAAGGACATTCTCTCTCCCTCCTCTGGACTCCACCACTTAAACAAACTCACAAATAAAACTAAAACAGTGTGTATGTGTGTGTGTGTGCGTGTGTGTGTGTGTGTGTTTGTGAGAGAGAGAGAGAGAGAGAGAGAGAGAGAGAGAGAGAGAGAGAGAGAGAGAGAGAGAGAGAGAGAGAAGGATTCTACTATAGAAAGAGACATGGACATAAAACAACAAATAAAAAGACAGTTAACACGAATGAAGTGCAGGTGTTGGATATAGATAGAAAGAGAGAGAGATACATCAATATAGAGAGAGAGAGACAGAGAGAGTGAGAGAGAGTGAAAGAGAGAGAGACTGTGTCCTGACATTAGAGACAAGTTCAGTATTTCTGAAGCAAATCACTTTTCAAATCAGTGGTTTGCTGACATTTATTCCAGCACTCATTTAGTTTAGTTAATTAATAAACTTCTTGATCTCCCTGATGAAACTGCACTGCAAATGGAAACGGAATCTAATACAAAGCTGTGAAAACCCCAGTTGAGTGATGCATGTCTTAGGATAGTGAACAAATTAAGCAAACAATATTATATTCAACTTTGTGTAAGGTTTGGAACAGACTTCCCAGTATACTGTTTATGAAGCCTGATCACGATACTGACCTTTGCAAGACTGATATCACATATTCAATTGGGCCATCTAACAAATTACAATTTTGTACTTAATATTATCATAATTACTGTGTTATGAGCATTCTGACCAACCTCAAATGTCCTATGTTTCCATTAATGAAGGCATTCACATTCTACAAATGCATCTGGTCAAATATTCCAAGCCAATCTTTAATCAGGTGATAAGAGGTTCACCAATGGCCAATACTAATACCGGTCTGATATTTTCTTTAAAAACTGAAAAGGGGCATAATATGCTCAAAATACTTAAATACCGTACAATCTCACAAGAAGAAATACATGTCTAAAAACATATGACTCAATGAGTGAGTTTTTGCTTTTTCAGACTCATTGTTTCTCATCAGATTCATTGTTATTGCTCCCCTCTGCTAATATCTGCCTGAGACCAATATACGCTGGTGCCAACAGGCCGTCTTCGATAACTGGAATATGGTATTTTGTGAAGATGCGTGATGACATCAGAATCACATCAGCATCTGCAGATGCTTAAAAATTCAGCATTGGACAGATGATTACATTGGCGGATATTTGATGGAGCATTTATTTTATTCTGGGATAGCAGTGTTTTTAAGAGATGCGTCCGTAACGTAGCCCCAGTTTCTACATTTTATGTATTATTGTGGTCCAGAAAAAAAAAATATCTCTAAAATGGTAATTTTACAGGAGAAGGAAAAGTCCTTTACAGTACTTAAAACGTAAGTTAATGAAGAGATTTTATTACAAGCAAATTTGGAACATTACTATTGGACGATTCATCATTACATTTTTATACTAGGTAAAGTGCAGCTGCTGCGTTCAAAAGAAGCAGAAAAATAAAAGTCAGAAAAAATTAGATACTTGTTTGTTTTTTTTGGGACAGCAACTAAATGTTTACGTAGTGGCATCGCTATCCACATTGGCAGACAAGTACATGAAAAATACTGGCTATCAGCATCAGCCATCAATTCCCATATCTGTGCATCCCTAGCATTTTGTACTTAGCCCTAGTGAGTGTTAGGAACAAAGTTTTTATGTTCAGTTAATCAGATTATAGAAATACTGCCTTAATTCCCCCTCAAAATACTCCCTTTAAATTGCTAGCGTGACAGTAGCTCCATCTGGGAAGTGCTTATCTGAGTAAACTGTTCTTGTTCTTGTTGTTATTGTAGAGTTTGTCTTTCAAACACTACAATATTTATCACAAAAATCTAAAATACCACAGTCACCTTTCCCCTCCAATATCATGCAGCCCTATTCCCCACATCAACCCACATTCCAATGAACTGACTCGGACACATACACTAAAATGAATGACCGGTATGTCAGCACCCTACATGTGTGCTATACAGTTATTTGGTTCAGAAATACTGATCTTTTTTGTCAATGTGGTGCACCCTCCAGCCGGGGGCAGTGGATGAGAAATTAGGGCTTATACACCTCAAACACCTCAGTAAGACCAGCTGTTCTGGAATCAGCTTCTCCCGTTCACTATGCTTCCAAGGGTAAAAGGTCACCTGATCATAAGACCTTGTCTTGAGGAGTCTGATAAATGTATGGCCCCAGGACTGAGGTAATGACGTCCATGGAGATGTTTAACATTTGCTTTATCAAGCTTTATCAACTGACTCACAGATGAGCTTGGGTTATTTTGGCAAGCAAATAGCTGTTGCTAAGACCTGTGTGAAGCCTAGCTTTGTCCTAGCTGTGAGTGAGACCAAAATGAATACGAAACGACAACAATGAAAAACGTACCAGGAAAAACAAACGTAAGATTTCTGCTGGGTAAAAAATCTGAAAGGTTTATGTGTGTGTGTAAATGATAGCACCACGTGGTGGTAGAGTACCATCCAGTGTGATTGCACGAGGTGAAAGAACAGTACCGCTGCAGCTGCTGCTGCTTTCCTATACAACAGAACCAAGAGAGGGACCTTTAATACTGAGACGCACCGGAAAAAAAACAAAAATAAAAAAAGTAGTGTAACATTGACCAGCATTTCTTCAGCCGAGCTCCAGTTAGTGTACCGTTACTTTAGTGTTTTTACGTCGCCCTTTCAGTGGTCAGTGTGCGAGTGTGTGCGTGCATGTGTTTCTGTTTGTATGTATGAGTGTGTGCGCACGCATCTCCCTCTGTCTCTCTCTCGTTCTTTGAAAGCTTTTTTTGTTTGTTTTTTAATAGTGTTATTAACTCTTTTCTCACCCGCCCCCTTAAGTTCTTCTTCCTACGAAGTGAAAAATACTGATTGTGACTGGCTCTCCTGCTCCACTTTCAGAAGAAGGAGTACTGGTTGTCGATGGCTCTCGCCCGGCCTCCCTCTCTCTCCTCGCCCTCCGCTCCTTCCAGCTGGCGGAGGGGCATGTCCCTCTCTCGCTCCTCGCATTCGTCCGTCCCACTGCCCGTTGCACCCCCTCCTCCTCCTGCGGCCTCCAGGTCACTGCCCCGCTCCTGGGGGGGCGTGGGGGGCGGCGGGCGTCCAGGCGGGAGAGGGGGAGGAGGGGGCTGTGGGGGGCTACGGGGTCTGCTGCTCAAGTCTGAAAGAGACAGAGAGAGAGAGATGGGCGACAGAGAGAGAGATGGAGGGAAGGAAGGAAAGAGAGAGAGAGCAAAGAAGTAAAGAGAGAGAGTAAGAGAGAGAGAAATAGTGAAAGAAAGATTGAAAACAAACGAAAGAGAGAGAAAGAAAGACATAGGGACAGATAGAGGGAGATATTGGGGGAAGAGAGAGAGAGAGAGAGAGAGAGAGAGAGAGAGAGAGAGAGAGAGAGAGAGGGAGAGAGAGAGGGAGAGCGAGAGAGAGAGAGAGAGAGAGAGAGAGAAAGAGAGAGAGAGAGAGAGAGAGAGAGCATAAATGAGAGATCCCTTTAAAAAACTGCATGCATGTTTCCCAGTTATGGAATCAGTCAACACACAGCACAGACTCCCTACACTTTCTCCACAAAGCACACTAATATCGTGAAATTACAATCTGAAATTTTAATATGTCAGTAAATAACTCACTCGAGACAGTAAAAAAAAACATAGAAAAAAGTTCACCTGAAATCATGGCATTGTGGAGAAAGACCTGGTCACCTGTCAAATGTGTGACATTAGATCGGTTCAAACACGGAAAGCTGCACTGAGTAGAACTGCTGTCGTGTGATAAACACAAGCTAAAGTGAGCAATGTTCAATGTTATCTGGTGACAAAAGGTCTAGGATGGATCTATGCAACTGAAATCCAGCCGTGAATGGAACGTTAGGCAGACAGATGTGCTCTGAGGTGAACGGATGAGCTGCTGCTCCACTCCCTCCCATCTCACTATCTCTCCACTGGTACAGTGTTCAGTCACCTCTTCCTTTTCCTTCTTTTTCCTCTTTTCTGTTTTCTAAGCTCAATCACTTTCTCTTTCTTTCTCCCTCTGTACTGTCTTGGACTAGTCTTTGACCTGTAAGAATTCTCCCGTATTTCCCTGACACATCTGTAGCACATAGCCATAGCAACCATGGACCATAAACTACCCTGTACTTAGAAAAGAACAGAAGAAATGATGAGTGAATGTTTTTTTCTGTTCTTTAACTAAGTACAGAAAAGCATGCTAAAGTTATTCACTGTGGTATTCAAACGTGTGCTACAGATGCAGTAGACAGATTAGATTGAAAAACATTTTTGAGGATTTTCAAGCTTCCATCTTCCACCAGAGAGTATAGTAGTACAGCATGGTACGGTTACAAATCTGTGCTCACGCATTCTGCAAGTGAAATGTGCTGTATCTGAATCTGATTATCCTCCTTGCCAGGTATCAATCATACTGTACCTGGCTGTATGTGAGAACGTATTACAGACGACTGATCAACCACAATCATAAGAATTGCCAAACATCATCACTCCAGTCAGATTTGTGTCATTTACAAAAAACACTAGCTAGCCAGAATTTGTTTGTGACTCTTAACATAAAAAATAAAGTAAATCAAAACTTTAAGCTTCTCCATTGTTCCTACTGTTGTTTGTGTTTACAGTCAAGACTTGTATAGCATTAAAAAAAAAAATCACATTCCAAACACAACACCTCAAAAGAATCCTGCCTACTTTCAGGCTTCTGTTGTGATGGGAAATGTACACAGGATACTAATAGTTGTGGTTTAGTAACCATACCTTGTTGTACTGCACTGCCTGGTGGAAAAACACCTTAAGTAGCTGCCACTTCAGTCTCTTTTTACATTATGCTCCTTCAGTCCGTCTAAACATAACCCACTCCACTATTTCTTACCGTGGATGAATGCTGTGAAACTACGGCTTTACCTCATACTTTTTTTTTTTGTTCGTTTCATTCCCTCTCTTCTCTATCTCTCTCTATTAAATCTGGTCTCACTTACACACAGTCAGAGATGGGGGTTGATGGAGAGTCAGGGTGGCGCGTGGTGATGACATCACAGACTGTGGGCCGGCTGCCTGCCCTGTCCCGGCCTGCGAAGATGACCCAACGACAAACAACAACAGAGACAGCCAATCAGAGCTTTGGTTCTGCACTGGCAGGGGGCGGGGCCTGAGGCAAGAAGGCGGGGCAAAGGGGAATAGCAAGAGCTGGTGCATGAGGTGTATAAAGGGGGAAAGAATAGATGATTATGATTATAAGATGAGGGAGAGAGAAAATCAGACAAAAGAGAAAAGTAGATGAAATGTGCAAAGACAAGATAGAACGTGATAGCAGTGTGCAGTCATTATGGCATTGGCATGGCTAAGAGGTGGAAAGCAGGTAGAACAAAGAATGAAGTCACTAAAAAGGTAGAGAAGGAGGAGAAATATATGTATATCTATACTCTTCTTAGAATTCATTTACTTAATTGGGCATTTAAATAAAGCATCTCTAGTTTTCGATGTAAAATATAAAGTTTTTATATACGCCATTTTTAATATGCATTTGACAGAGCATGCGATCTAGAACCAGAGATGTTTAACTATTAACCAGCAAGCCTAAAATCAAAGAAGTAACCCTTCAAAATATCAATTATAAAACAAATATTTACGGTACTGAAATGTGATTGACTACGCCTTGTTAAAAGCTGTTATACTTCATATACATACACTAGTGAGCATATACACAAACTGAATTCTGGATTAACGTACAGGGATATGAGAAAGTGTTCCTTGTATGGACCGTGGGAAGGAGGTACTGATAGGTGAGGCCAGACATGATCTAAACAACCTGAAAACGTACTAAACACACCCTACATAAGAGCCTGCTATTGTTCAGAATGAGAGGCAATATGATCAAAAACTAAAACAGACAAAATAGCGATGGGCTACTAAAGCTCTATAATCTTCTAAAGTTGTATTTACCACTCTTTACTAGCCCAAGTTTAAAGGAGCTCAAATGCAATGACCAAGGCTAACTTTGGCTCAGTGCATCTAAGTAGCTGTCAAAATTCGTCGCCATCCATCACGTCCTTCTCTATAATTATGCACAACCATGCATGATTCTTCAAACGCGGTGCGTCTCACTTTCGCTTGGAGACCATGAACAGTTGACTGTCTTATTACTTGCAGGTGTTTGCCTTTGATGTGGTACATCAATGCAGCTATTGTCCTCGTGAAAAGTAATCCAGAACACCACTATTTTAGCTGCATGCTTCATTTGAAGAAGGTGCTTCTCAGTGTTAATAATAAACCCGCCTATTTAAATCGAAACTGTTGTGTATTGGAAATTAAATCCATTTAAGTTCATGTTTGTTTACACTGAAAGCTTTCATGGAACAATTGTTTATTTGTGGGTTAACTATTAATCTGTTATTCATTTACACCCTAATTGAGCCTCACAATTAAGGCCGCATCGTCTGTAAGATGCGCAAATTATTGTAATGGTCAACTCGTCGTACTTTAAAGCAACATGTCTAAAACACAAAGAAAATTCAGTAAATCGACCTCTTGTGTTAGCTGCACACAAACCTTCTGGATTTTTATATTTTCATTCAAAACAATATCAAAAATGTTCTCACTGGGAAAGAAGGAAGATGTGGAAAAGGAGAGATGATGCGAGACAGAGATTCTGAAACATTTGAAATGTGTGGGGGGCGGTGTATTAAGGGTGGTAAGGGGAGTCTAGGGAAGGAAGCAGTGGGGTCAGGCCATGTGTACTGCAAAAACCAAAACACAAAGTCAGCAAAACATCACAATTAAAGAAATAAAGCCATGCACAGGCAGCAAACTGCACACCTTGCTCATGTGAATGGAGCCGTATGTGTCTGTATGTGTGTGGCCAAAGAGGAAAGCCACACACTGTGCTGAAAAGCATGCCATGCTGGTGATTTGAAATGACCTCTATATAGACCAAATTCAATTTTAGCCACATTACAGTGTCAGGAAGCTCATGCAGTGATCTGCAGTACCTCTATATTGCAGTACTGCACTCACATGATCATTAAGGCATAGAAACACAAGGCAGAAAGCAAATGCATTCTGGCATTTCTCAATACAATGAATGTTTTGGCAATAACACAGAACAGCTGCCCCTTAACAAACCTTATTCTGCCTAAAACAATCTTCTGCCTGTCACCATACCAAAGCACCCAAGCCCTCCACCCCTTCAACGTTGACCCCAGGTGTGGGTACCTGGCTGCCGGACAGCTGTGGCGCCAACAAAGCTGATGAGAGTGACGTCAGAGGCTCCCCCAGACTCCAGGGGGATAGGGTGCACCCGGAAGTGCTCCAGCATGTCAAAGATGGACTGGAACCAGAGATGCTGCACGCGACACTGGCCATCCTCATTCAGTGAGAGCCGTAAGTGCTATGGAGAGACAGACAAAGTGAGAGATTAAGATATTTATACAATGAAATAAGGAGGCAGATAGGGTTAGGGATACTGACAAAGGGAGAAATGGAAGAAGTGAAGAGAGGGGATATCCTGCAATGCTATTACCAGTGCTTGGCGGTTGCTGCCAGCGATAAAAAAAAAAGGATCCCATAACATAACCTTATGAGGTCTTATCCATAGCTTTTTGAAAAAATTCTCATTTTCAATTTATCCCACATTTGCACTGTTTGTAGAATTTGCAAAATAAAAAAGAGGTTGGAAGTATAGATTTAAATGTCAATACAGAATGTAAACTGAACATAAACATAATTATACAACTAAGGAATTCATTATGTAATTGCATTAAAAAATGCATTAAATATAATGTAAGATTAAGTCATATGTAAAGCTGAGTGTGTTTTACCCACAGCAGACTCACCTTAGCTTTGCCCTGGAAGTTGAAAGTGAGGACGTACTCCCCGCGCCGCGTCTCACTCTGCCGCACCAGAAAGACCCCATGGCTTGCCATTCCGCCAGCCAGTACCAGCTGGGCAGCCTTTAGCCGTGAGAGTGTACCATGGAACCACTGACATTCACTTAGCGGGTGCTCCACTGGCTCTGCCACAGAGCCCTCTGAGAAAAGAAAAGACCCTGAGGAAGAAGAGCAGTAAAATGAGGATAACTGTGCTTTCTACATAATAGAAATTAACAGGTATGGAAGTGAGCATCAGAGGCCATGTGGATTAGAGGTTAAAGCCCATGTGTCAAACACAAGGCCCACGGACCAGATTAGGACCCCAAAACAATCCTCTCCGGCCCGCAGAAGTATTTTAAATTTCTATTAATATAAGCCTGTTTAACAGTGCACTGCACTACAGTCCCCAGCATGCACTGCAATGTAATGTGCTCCAACTCTCCTACCCCAACAACAGTCTATGGGACAGCAGTTACACCTTAATTCTACACAGTTTTACACCAGTCATATCACCAAACACACTAATTGCATTTCAGCTGCAGTTCAGCCTGTATAAACACTTAATGTTAGCTCAGCAGCTCAGAATTTAGGCCCAAGTATTAATGAACAGCAAAGAAAGGATGCCAGGTGTCTAGTTCAAGCAAATAGGTAGGTTTTAAACACTGAGCACCTGGGGACATTTAAATTTTGAATATTTCAAGTATTTATGTAATATATAATGTCTACTACAAGTGCCTATATTTTACTGTTTAAGTTTTTGCATATTTAAGCAATGGCCAGTTTGATTTATAGCACAACATTGATTAAAAGTTAAATAAAAACATGTTTTTTTTTCTCTGGCCCCTTTAAGATTTTCAAATATGGCCCCTTTTACTCGGTGAGTTTGACAGCCCTGGGTTAAAGTAATGGTTTGGTCAAACTTAGCCATGTTTGGTGACATGTTTGGTGTCTGATGTCTGCTTCCTTAGTTTTTCACTAGAGCTAAAAGGCTAATGTAGCATTCTAAAGCAAACTTCGAACACCAAATCATGTCCTGGCTGATCGACTTCATTTAGGATAAAAATAAAATTTGATTTTTGGCCAAACTTGCTTTAAAGACCTCCAAGAGAATTCTATTTCTGACTTCCATTGAATTATTTATTAACTCTTTGTCTGTCAGTCTACAGTTTTGGTGTGAGAATACCTGTGGCATCAGGGGTCTCTGCAAAGGGTGTGCCAAGACTAGCTCCGCCTCCACCCAGCAGTCGACTGTCAGATTCATCGAGAGGGGCGCGGGGTGGCAACTCAGGAGGCAGAGGCTCCAGCAGTGGAGAACCACCCACCCCACCGTAACACACTGCAGACCAAAAACATTCATGTAACTTACAGGCTGAAATACTGCTATACAGAAATACTGCACTCTCACTTTTCCAACAAAAAAAAAAACATTATGTAATATACACATAATCTAATAGACAGAACAAAAGCATTTAAAGCCTCAATCAGAAGTTACTAAGATTGGCAGGCTACAACATTTCCAAGACCACCGAAACCATGCCATAACGTATAGGCAGTACGTTTAGCATGCTCTGTGCAAACTCAGCCTTGGTATTGTTTCTGCTGTTTGTGACTGGGGCTTTAGTCATTTAATTCATTTGTAAGTTCACTACACAGCATGGTCACACACATAACACACTGACCTTGAGACAGGCGGTCACTGAATTCTGGCGTGCCACTGAAGTCCGTCTGTGCACCACACACTCCCTCAATGTCCTCTTGCTCACTAGAGTGATGGGTCAGAGGGTATATTTTAGGTACTGTGACTGGGTCTACCACTTTAATTATTACTACTGAGTGGTTACTTGGCCTAATAATTCTCCGCCCACAAACATGTTCTTTAGTAACTGTCGGAAAATTGGACAAGCTTCACAGAATGTTGGCAAAAATCACATTTAACTTATAGAGAAATTGTAGCAATCTCTGTTTAGAGTTGCTACGTAACATTTATTTTAAAAGGCTTTGTTGCCATATCTAATCAAAACTGCAAATTGGAAATGACAACAACACAGAATTTGCCACCATGCTAACGTTAATCTCCAGGCCTTTTTATGGCAAGGAAACCAGCACATTAATTTCTTTGGACTTAAGGCTTGAATGATGAACGTGGTCAGAATGCCAGCCCACTACATTATTAGGTTAAATTTCCCCTAATTAAAACTTGTTAAGACAACACTGAATAACGTTATAATGAATAAGGTTAGAATTACAATTGCAGCACTTGTGCTATAAAAACTGGACCTTTTTCCAACTTGCATTTTCACAATGATAAATTGTTCAGCCCTAGATCTATCCAAACAGTGAGACTCTAAATGTAGGTACTTTGACAAAACTGGGCTCTCTTTAAACTCTCTGGGTTTAATGAGATTTTGGCCAACTTTGCAACAGCTGCTATGAACAAAAAAATATGTAGAGCATGGCTACATCAGTCATGTTCTATTCTGAAAAAAACAATTTCAGTTGTAATAACCCAAGCACATAAGAACAACTTGTTTACTTTTCTTTTTGCCATTGCATTGACAACTTAACTGGATGTATGTTACCTCAGGCAGATGCCGTTCCTGATGTCACTCAGCCAAGCTCTCATTTGAACAGCATCTCTGGTCTCAATTACATACTGCACCTGTCCTTCCAGCTGATTGTAGGAGAAAGAGAAAGAAAAAATGAGTATGAACAAGACACAGAATTATAAAGAAAGCAAAAGACAAAAAGAGAGAGGGACAAGAGACAGTCAGATAAAGCGGGGTAGGAGCAGGTCTTAGAAAGACCGGTTGTTGGAAATTCTAAAACCTGGATATAGGACACAGACAACGAGACAGAAACCGAAACTAAGAGACAAGGTGTGATAGTGAAGACATACCTGCAAAAGGAAAGTGTTCTCCTTGTCTGGTACCTCAAGAGCTGTGGTGCTCCTAACATCAACAATGGAGCAGCATGGTATAGTCAGTCTGGGCTTGGAGGACTGTAATATAAGAGCAGAATACCTTCAGTTAAGTTCACCTGTTTCCTGACAATGACATTATCTGGATTCATAGCATCACTAAACAGGCATAAGCATTACCTTCCAACCTTCCAAGTGAATCAAATAATCTCGATCAAGATAGATAAATGAAACCTAAATCAGATTTTATCCAAAGTACAACTTAGGAATAAGCAGTTTTCTATATCTAGTTCTCACTAACAGTTTAACTTAATCCAAATTATGCTGTGCCTGTGAAATATTTTTAAAAGCAAGTGACGTTTCAGTGACCATATGAATGAGTCACTACCTAAACCAAGTATTACGTTAGTTTTCTGTGAATAAGAGGAACACCTTTTTCTAAAGAGCAAATAAAGGGGCATTCCACTGAATTCCTAATCTAATTTCTTAACAGTGGTGGTAATAGGAACCAGGGGTGGCATGTCTACAACACAAATATAGACATTTTATTTACTATACAAAACAACCAGTGAACCTATCATGTTTGTTTTGATTTTTATATGCAATGTTGATGATGGTGGGGAAAAAAAGAGGTAAATGTGAAAGATAAAAGTTTTCACTATGCTTGTACCTGTTCACCATAAATGGAAACATATTCATAACTATTTAATGTAATAGCTTCCTATTTTTGAGGCATTTCATACTTTGGATGTCTGATTCCTATCACCTCTACTGTGAGGATTTTTGCATTTCACATTAAGCCACTTTGAATGACTTTTACATCTTAATGACAATTAGTTACTGAAAGTCAGTCAAATTCCCTTTTAAGGTTATATATTCCAGGACATCCGTTAATACAATCCTTATATGTCAGCTTGGTCATAATCTACCATAACTTTTTCAAACTTATTTGAACCTGAAAGATAATGGTGGCAAAGCAAAGACAAGAACGGAGGTATTTACAAAACGATGAATGCAGATTATGTGAGGCGAGGCTAAGAAAATCCTCGTTATTTGACTCACCTTGGGAGGGATGTAAAACTCCAGGAAGTATTCCTCTCCTCTCTCCCCTCCCTCCTTATCTCTCTCTTTTAGAACCAGCCGACACTTGTGCCAGCGTGTGCCCCGTCCACCTATAGCGCCCCCTGTGGCCAGAGGCTGCACTCCACCAGTCTGCCCTACACCAGAGCCAGACGCTGTGTTGTTGTCCGTATTGTGGTGGAGCAGTCCAAAGGAAAAGCCCGGAAAACCATGAGAGCCAGCGAACTCGTCTGAGGACGAGAAGACGGTTACTCCTCCTTCTCGGACAAGCCTGCCTGTCTTTCTGGGGGCCGCTGCACTGCTGGGGGGCAGGGCAGAGGGCAAGAGGGACGAAGAAGGTCCCATGGTGGCAGGCAAGGTGGGCGGAGGAGAGCGAGACAGCCGCAGCTTCTCCAGTCGGTGACTCCACTTCTCCTTTTCACCTTCTCCATTACTTCTCCTCCGGTCACGGGCTTCGGAGAGCGAGAGGGAGGTGGCACTACTGGATGAAGAGGGGGGCAGGGAGGACGAGGAAGAGTGAGGGAGGGAGAGAGGGAGAGAAAGAGAGACAGGGAGAGAGGCTGGCACGGCCTGAGAGCCTGAGGTCCTCTTGCCATCCTGCAGGCCTGTAGTGTAGCTGTAGCTGGAGGGCAGTGGTGCTGGGTTTGAGGGTCCACAGTTCTGGGGGGAGTCGCTGGAGGAGCTGCGCCAGTGCAGGATGCCACGTACACTCCCCCGGACACTCCGACCCACACTGCGCAGAGAGAAGCGCTTCTTCAGTTTGTTTTTGGAGTGACCTCCTGGCGTGCCATTGCCTTTAGAGCCAGAGTTCAACTGCATACCAGAGGCAGGGCTTATTGGAGTCTGGCTGCCATCAGCTCTGTCAGTTAGAGCCCCGCCCTCTGCCTCTCCATCCTTCCCTGCTTGCTCGTCTGACTCTGCCTCCTCCCCAGTCAAGGGTCCCGCCCAGCTGTCCTCCTCCTCTTCCATGTCTCCATTGCCAGGCAAGTTGCCAGAACACAGCTTAACCGTCAATCTGTCCTCCCTCCGCCCATTGTTGCCACCCATTGAGGAGGAGCAAGATGATGAAGAGGAAGGGGGAAGAATTTGCGTGTGAGCGTAGGAGTCCTGAAAAGTCGCAGGATTCTGGAACCTCTCCCCACCTCGGCTGTCCAACGCTGGCCGAGTCGACAGAGGCTTTGGCGGAGCCCGAACATGAGCAGGTGGTAAGGGGGCGGTGGCCTCGGGTGGCAAAAGGGGCGGGGATGTCGCCTCTTCGTCCAGCGATGTAGCATCTGATTGGGCCACCCAGCTCCCTGTCCCCTCCCTTCCTGCACCGCTTCCCTCCAGTTCGCTTTCGAAATGTCGAACGAAACGGTCTGTGAAGCGGCGGCAGAAAGCAGCAGCAGAATCTGGGGAGTAATGCGGGTTCTCCAGCAGAAAGGCCCGGAAATGACGGGCGAAGTCACCAGCCGCTACCCGGGCATGGAGCTCACAGAACTCGGTCCAGCTAAGGCAGGGAGAGGGTGAGGGTGTGGGTGTGTCTGAGAGAGAAGACAGCGGCTGGCCGGCAGGAACCGGAGGGGGCAAAGGAGGTGGACGTGGAGAAAGAGGCAGTAGGGAGGGAGATGGAGGGGACGGTGAGGGAGACGGAGACGGGGGCAGAGGGGAGGAGCTTGCCGCAGCCCGTGGGCTGGGCGGAGTTAAGAGGGAGCCGTTCATAACTGACTAAATGAGTGACTGATTCGTGGTGATTTGGAGACTAATCACTGAAGCCTTCTGATCAAGGATCAAGCGACTGTCAAAATCTGATGGGTTGAGGAGGAGGCACGCTCTGTTCATCGGGTAAAGTTTCACATAGGTCACAAGTCTGGGAAAAATGATTGGCCAAGCAATGAGAACTGATGACAATCTTCCGTCATTTAATAAATGACTGGACTCTTAGATGATAAAGCAGCTCTATAACAGTTCCTGCACTCTGCAACAAGCAATATGTGCTAACTTATATATAGGCATCTGCATGCTGAGTGTCTTCAGAACACATCAGAAGGATGATGGACAGCTAGTGTTGAGCGAAGAACGTAGCAGACGAGTTGTTTTATTTGCCTCTGGTGGTCTTGTTTTTTCAAGGCCCTAGAAGCAACCAGAGGAACGGATCCATGGCCTGCAATGAAGCAAGAAAAAAGTCTGTTGGTAAAATTTACCCCATCTAGTTACAGTAGATATTCCAGATATACTGTCATGTTTGCACTAAAACATCCACTAAGCATGAGCTCAAACAATGAAAGAATTGAAAGGCTGTAACACATATGCTGATGTTTATCATAATTGTGATATTACATCACAGTGTGTCAGAATGTGCTTATCTAAACATATCATGAATTTCATCAGTGCTTAAAAACCACCAACCAAATGCATGTTTCATTAGAAATAGAACATAAATTAGTCTTGTTTAATTTAATTAAGTGTAGTAAGTGAAATGTGAAATAAAAATCACTGTACTCATAATGTTAAAATATTATATTTTATAATAGATAATATTAGGCCTTTTTAAATATTAGGTAATACTTTGATATTACTTGGTAATAAACAAAATATAATGACACATATTTTGAAAACGTTTAAGTATTGTGATATTACATTTTTCCATATATCACCCACTCCTACTTAAACATGAGGAATCACTATGGCTTATTATTACCCCTGCCTGTACCCCTGCCTATTGTGACTACTGTATTGAAATTTAAATTTGAAAACTGCTACAGTATGGCGACACTAGTGAGTATTTAGGGAAACCTCAAAAGAGACAGTATGGAGCCAATTATTGGTATCTCTACCATTATTACTACAACTTATAACAATAGTAATAATAACAATGAGGCAGAACAGTAGTCTCCTTTTAGATACAGTAAGTGCTTTAGGTAATTCTCTAGAAAAGCCTGAATGAGTCAAATATTAAAAACAGTATCTATAAATGATAGCAGGGCATGCCTCATCATTATTTTCAGAACAAATGACCTAAGACAGCATGACACACAGTAACAGGTTGTGTTAATCAGCAACTAATGTAACAACAGACGTTCTTACACACACATACATATACACAAGTACACACACACACACACACACACACACATACACATATATATATATATATATATATATATATATATATATATATATATATATATATATAAATCTTCATACAGCTTTTGAAAGTATCAACGACACAACACACCATACCAAGCTTTTTCGCCTGTGAATGGAAAATAGCAGTTGATAGTCTGACTGACGACGTGAAACCTGAAAAACAACACCAGTTCCTACAGCTAAATTACCTAAAAACTTCTACTTCTTCAGTCGGCGAGTTAGCGAGCTGAGTTAGTGAGTAATGTGTGCAAATATGGTCTGTAACTGCTACCTACCCAATGTTTACAATAGCATTTTCTTTAAATTATATGCTTACTACGTCAAGTCGGTGAAAGCAGGTTTGTTGACACCGAAATAACGTGGCCAGTTCGTATTGCAAGTTGCTACCAAAACATCATAAACGAGCCTGTGGTCACTCACCATTTTCGGGTCCGTATGTAACTCGAGACCGGTGCCTTTCTTGTTTTGTGGGTTTGCTAACGTTAGATGGAGAGGAAAACAACAGATCAGACTCAAACACAGGCCTGGCTACGATAACGCAGCTGTCATGTAATCAAAGGCTAGACAGAGATATTAAGCTCTAGCTAACGAGACAATGTTGTGTCGTGCATGGTCACGTTACTGGAGTAAAATTACAGTTAGCCAGCTCAACAACGAGCTAATAATGTCAATATGCTGAGCCAAGTGGCGTTAGCCAGCTAGCTAACACGCTAGCCAGGCAACTTTTGCTAATAAAAGCGTTAGCTAGCCAGCTCGCTCGCTAGCCAGAATCTGCTTCATACAGTTTATCTCAAAGAGAAAACATTTCCCAAACTTAACCTACCTTGGCCGAAATAGACGGCATTTGCACACGACTGCGAATCTGCAAAATAACAGAACTGCCTCGGAAAGTAGCTAATGTATCTTGCTAGCCAGCTAACTAAGCTACTATTCGTAAATTACCTATCTTGTAAATAGCTAACTAGCCAGACAGCTACACAGCTAGCTGTATAGCCAATAAGCCAGTGTTGTTGCCTTCAATATCACTTCTCATTCCTCTCTCTCTACCTTATCTTACGCTTTACATCTATTAAGGGCGAACGTGTTGATAAATCATATGGCAGCGTTTACATCTGTTTTTGGCGACTATAGCTATATTGCTCTGTTGTTGTTATAAGAATATGAATATTTCTCTGCCTCCTGTCCCAGTCTGTCTCTCGCGATATAGTGGGAGAGAGTGTAGGATGGGGGGCCAGGGAAAGTGAAGAGCAGGAGAAGGGGATTTCAGAGGGAGAATAATGCACCAGCGAAGAAGATGCAGAAGAGCTACCACAGGTCGCAGCATTCTGGAAAATTATGATCAAGTATAAACAGGTTTGATTTAATGAGCTGCCTCAGTAATCATATATGTGACTATGGGCGTGTTAGGTTAGTGTGTGGTAGACAAAGAGAGTTAACATGTACTTTTCAGTCCATTATTATGTCTGATAAGGTTTCAAAACTATCCCAAATCAATATTTGATATACTTTGTATAATCTATGCTCCTTTCTTCTAGATTTGTTTCTAATTTTCTAGCAATTTGAGTACACTGTTTTGCATATTAGGGTTGTTTTCTGAGCTTTTTAATGCACTTGCTGCAGTCATACAAAGCAAAATACAAAATAACTAAATCAAAATAACTACATTGGTAAATAAGTAAATGAATGAATAAATAAATGATGTCAAACAAAATTTTCTAAAAATCACAAAACACTTATTAACATGTGTCACTTTGTTTCATGGTTAATAGGGTCACATTTGTCCTTAGCACATTGTAAATGTCACAGTCAAATTATAGCCTCCTGTCCTTTTACTGTCAGTTAGATTTAGAGGTATGCAGCAGATGACTGTCAACAAGCTCTTTAAATCAGATAATGAGCGGTAACTATGATGCACTGTATACTGAATTTTACATACCATAGAACGCTGTATCTTCACAACCCCCCCAAGGTATATCTCAGAGTTAGTGGATCCAATGTTGCAACTGTTCAGTGCAGCAACTAGTGTGTTTGGACTTTTTACCCCTGGATACCCCAACCCCCAGCTCCACCTCCACCCATATAGTTCCTCTAAGGGTAAAATGTGTGCACGCATATGTGTTTCTGTGTACCCATGGAAATTTCACAAGGTAATGTCATTATCGTCTTCTGTTTATGTCCTTTACATCACAGAAGAAAGTCATTTAGGCACCTACATGCCAAGTAGGGCGAACAAACAATCATTAGACCTTTAAGTGGGTATACAGAGCACTTTCACTTCTCGGTTAAAATATTCTCATTTACCCACTCTGCGGTCATTAAAGAACATTCTTCACTTGCAGAGAATAAAAGAGGCTTTGTAAATCTATAGTCATTATCTTAAAATGACATTATTTCTGTCCAGTCAAAGGAGGTGCCTTGCAGTACTACAAATAACTGCTCCACAGAGAACTCCACAATGTGAATTCTGAGCAATTTTCTACAATAGGCAGTTGTATATACAACCCCATTTCTGAAAAAGTTGGCACGCTGTGCAAAATGTAAATAAAAACAAAATTCAGTGATGTGGAAATCATTTAAACCCTATATTTCATTGAAAATACTACAAAGACAACATAACAAATTTTATTGTTTTTTTGAAAAATATATGCCCATTTTGAATTTGATGCCAACAACACGTTCCAAAAAAGTTGGGACAGGAGCATGTTTACCACTGTGTTTCATCACCTCTTCTTTTAACAACACTATGTAAGCGTTTGGGCAATGAGGAGAACAACTGCTGTAGATTTGAAAATGAAATGTTTTACATAGGATTTCAGCTGCTCAACAGTTGGGATCTCCTTTGTCATATTTTTCATTTTATAATGTGCCAGATGTTAACAGTGATGACAGGTCTGGACTGCAGGCAGGCCAGTTTAGCACCTGGACTCTTTTAATATGGAGCCATGCTGTTGTAATACATGCAGAGTGTGGTTTAACATTGTCTTGCTGAAATAATCAAGGCCTTCCCTGAAAAAAATGTTGTCAGGATGGCAGCATATGTTGCCAAAACATGTATATATCATTCAGCATTAATGGTGCCTTCACAGATGTGCACGTCACCCATGCCATGTGCACTAATGCACCCCTATACAATTATGAATACTAGCGTTTGAACTGTGCACTGATAACAAGCTGAGTGGTCTTTAACCTGGAGGACACAGCGTCCATGATTTCCAAAAAAAAATTCAAATTTTGATTTGTCAGACCACAAAATACTTTTCCACTTCGCCTCAGTTCATTTTAAATGAGCTCAGGCTCAGAGAAGGTAGCAGCATTCCTGTATCCTGTTTACATATGCTTTCTTCTTAGCATTCATGGATGCAGTGCCGAACTGTTTTCACAGACAGTGTTTTTCAGAAGTGTTCCTGAGCCCATGCAGTGATTTCTACTACAGAATCATGTCTGTTTTTAATGCAGTGCCGCCTAAGGGGCCCAAAGATCATCGCCAGCAAATACTGGTTTTTGGCCTTGTCCCTTGCATACAGAGATTTCTCCAGATTCTCTGAATCTTTTAATGATATTATGTACCGTAGATGATGAAAAGCAAAAGTTCTTTGCTTTTTTACATTTTACATCATTACATTTTTGAGTTGTTGCACTATTTGATTGTGCAGTCTTTCTTAGAGTGGTGAACCCCTCCTCATCTTTACTTCTGAAAGACTCAGCCTCTCTGAGATGCTCTTTTCATACCCGATCACATTATTGACCTGTTGCCAATCAACCACCTGGTGTTTTTAGCACTACACAACTTTACCAGCCTTTTGTTGCCCCTGTCCCAACTTTTTTGGAACATGTTTTTGGCATCAAATTCAAAATGGGCAAATATTTTTCAAAAAATAATTAAATTTCTTAGTTTCAACATTTGATATGTGGTCTTTAAAGCATTTTCAATGAAATATAGGGTTTAAATGATTTGCACATCATTGCCTTTTTTTATTTACATTTTTCACAGCATCCCAACTTTTTTGGAAATGGGGTTGTAGTTATGTTATATTGTGTATTATGTACAGTCATATGCAAAAGCACCCCTGGTCAAATTACATATATGTTGATTTTCTTAGTGAAAAATAAGTTAGCACAACCTCTAACAAAGTAATAATAATATTTCTATTTATCTGCTAAGTAAACATAAAATAGAAAATGTGACATAACTTTTGTGCAGGCCACACTTAATGGTTTTACATTTTTCCCATAAATGTTAAATATTCCAGTAAATAAAACAGTAATTTTCCAGAAGTGTGTTATCTGTTGGGGATGTGTTAAATTTTTTTCAGTTAAAAAAAATCAACAATACATGTAATTTGACCAGCGGCGCCCAAACTTTTGTATATGATTGTAAACCTCTTTAATGAATTTACTTCCCTCTAAATACATGGGCTACTGATTGCAATTAAGAAGGGTTATTCACAAAAGTAATAAAAACACCACATATATACCCTAAATATTCTTTCAAGTAAATTAAAGTGAGATTAAATGCCAAGTAGTAATATGTATTAGGTATGAAAAAGTATGTAAAGTAAAAAGAGTGAAGTGGAAAATCATGACAACTATGCCAGACACAGAGAAGCTGCATCCGCATCACTCAAATCCTAATACCAGAGATAGATACTCCATCAAATCATCCATCAAAAAATTGAAGTTACACATTTACCCCATTACCCTAAGCAAAGTTGATCAGCCAAAACATGTTTAGTGTCCCCACAACTTTGTTTTCATTTCTTTTGAAAGGCAAACTATTTTCTCACAGCAACTCTAAACAGGTGAAATATCTGATTAACTGTTCTATAAAATAACAATTTGGCTAAAATGTGACTTTTTAATCACCAATTTTCTCCCCAATTTAGTCATTGTCAATTTCACCTACGCACTCTTACACGATACTACCAAGCTGGAAGGGTGAAGGCTATCATGTGCTTCCTCCGTGAAGTGAAGCGCCGACGCATTTTTTGATACTGCCGCTATCTTAATGTCACTGGACAGCTCTACATGCTTGCAAGACTGACTGCCAAGTCTGCTGTCAGCTATGTTGGCTAAGATCCCACTGAGTGAAGGGGGGAAAGGGAAGCAGGGCTTTCCTACTCACCCAGAGAGAACAAGGTCAATTATGCTTTCTTGGACTCCTGACTACAGATGGCTGTGGCATCACCTGGGATTGAACTTGCTATCTCCCGATGATAGGCATCACTGAATTTTAACAACCTAATAGAAAGTGCAACTGAGAACATGACAGTGAATAGAAGAATGAAAATTACAACTAACTGCACAAATTTTCATGGACTTAGACCAGATTAGAACATGTTTAGTGGATTTTTGGTCGTTGCTGGACATAAAAGGTTTCGGGTTAGGGCTGAGTTAGCAGCATTTAGCCCAGGAGACAGATATACTGAAGACAATGGGAGTACCCCACAAAGTGAGGAAAACAATATTTTATTGTGTGTAAGTGTGATTGTGTGTGTGCGGGTGTCTCTGCTCCCATTCCCTTCCCATCATGGTTACTCTCTCACACACCTAGTAGCCCTTTAAGCCCCCCACTTCCCTGATGACGCATCCAAACGCGCTTGTCCAGTTTCCGCCGACCAGAATCTGTTTGTTGAATGTACCGTTCTGTGCAGGTTCGGGATGGTACTCATCAAGGAATAGTGAGTACCCATCAATATAACATCTTTCTTGTCACGTACACTGTGTACATTTGATAAAACTAGATGTCATTTTTGTGAGTTAAGACCTTCGCGTTGTATATCGATAATTAACGCGAGGCAGTGATTGGGTTTCTCCGTCCTCTGCTAGCATTAGCTCGGCTTAGTTTCTTTAGCCCGCTTGCTAAATGTAGCTAGCTACAGATTCATATGGGTTCCAGCAGTGTGAGACACAGATTAAACGCCAGTATAGAGATGCCGTTTAGTCGAATCACACTCTGTTTTCGCGTACATGTCGTACATGTTTACCAGAGTAAAATAGATAGATTGGTTTATATGCTACAAACTGAGCGCAGGGCTGATGGTTCACGCCCGTTACTGAGCTAAAGGCGCCGGAGCGGAGCGTTAGCCTGCCGGGGATGTCCATGCCTCCGTTATCCGAATCCAGTAACGTTATGCCTCACATATTCTTTCTCTTTGCTTCTCTTTCAGCCAAGTGGTGTTGCCATGTTCAGTAGAAGAGGTAAGTTATGAAATCCAACGCTGTAATATCTAGTGTTGACCCATAATTTAACAGCTTTTATAACCGTAGTTAGCTAGCTAGCGTTAGTTAGCTCAGTCATGTGAAGCTTAGCCTGGTAGCTACAAGAGCCTTTTTATTATTGTTATGCGTAATGATGCACGTAAACCTGTCATGTAGCTAGCTTAGCACTTTTTCTCGCAGTGCTCTGTGTTAAAGAGTTTTATCCCATTGTGTGGTGTGTTAGCGGTTAGTTGCCATTAGTTACTTATGTAATCCCCCAACCCCCCCAGTACCAGGTTGGCCAACTGTACTCCGTTGCCGAGGCCAGTAAGAACAACACGGGAGGGGGAGAGGGGATCGAAGTCCTCCGGAATGAACCGTACGAGAAAGAAGGGGAGAAGGGCCAATACACCCACAAAATCTACCACATACACAGGTACGTGTGCGCTTTCACTGCTCCCCTGGACGTCTCCATGTGACCGATGTTGATTCTGTTATACATCAAACCTATACTGAAGCTTTTCAGACCTAGACTGGTCATAATCTGAGTTTAAGAAACTTGTATCTGATTTGTGTTTCACATTCTACTGCCAGCATGCTCCTCAATTAAAGACGTTTGTTTCTCAAAGATGTTCTGGCCACCTACGCATACATAAAGAAGACCCTTGCTCCTTTGAAAGACCTCTGGTGGGCGGGGTCTAAGCTGTTTTTGTCTACAAAAAAAAATAAATGGTGTTTCACACAATGGTAGAGAGTAGGGGTCACCAGTCCTAGTCCTGGTGGCCCAACACTGTGCACACGGTTTCGCTTTTGCCTCATCTTGCACACCTAATTCAATTCGTTAAGTAATTAACAAACCCCTCATTGGCTGGGTCACGTGTGTAGGGTAAGGAAAACAGAGAAATGTGCAGAGCAAAGGAAAGCTTAGACTGGGATTGGGAACACTGGGAAAGAGAAGTGTTCCAAAGCTGGCATGTTTTGTCCTGTGTGTATTGTTGTGTATTGTCTGCCAAATGTACTATTAAAAATAACAATAAACTTGCAGCTACAGTGATTTTTATTTAGTGTTTCACAAACAGTGCTGCATTAATTCCAATGAAACAATGAAGCCTAGTTGTGCACACTTTGTAATAAACATTTAGTTAGTTTGTGTTCTCTGTGTAATGATATCCAAAATATGCTGAGAGAAGCATGTTGTGATATCACAGTAACAATAAAATATTGTTATACTGCTCACCCCTAATTATGCTACATGCTAACACTTTGGTGCCTTTAAATGACATCACTGACTTGTACTATAACTACACTACTTCAGCTCCTCAAACTGTAGTCTACTATTGCCAAAGCCACAGTTGCCCAAGCTTGCTAGTTTTGCATTTTATAATTTGGTAAGGATGCCAGTGTTATAATTAGGAATGCACCGATATGGGAATTATGGGCCAATGCTGCTATCTGGTATTTTTACATTTGACATTTTTTTCTGCCAATGCTGATACAGAATCCACCACATAAACATTGTGAAAAGTAGAAACTGGGACATTTTAGTGCAGTAGCCCAGGGTCACCTAAACATTCTGCTCCTGTGGAGTACATTTAATACACCATCAAATATCATTCAAATCTGAACATCTGTTCAGTTCCAACAAATTTTAAGCGACTGTCTGCTGATACCAATAAAATTGAGATCATCATTCATCCCTACTTTTAATCTCAATTCAGTGAACAGGATTGTTGGTTTGCATGTCGCATATGTGTAGCAATAGCGATATTTCTATTTTGACCACTTAACAACCTTGTCATTCAAATGAGACCATGATATTCAGGCAAAAAATGTATGTAGGACGTAACACACTTGCTTTGGATCTCATTGTTTAACCCCAGAGCGTGTTGGAGGAGATTTATTGAAAACACTGTTCATTTTCCCATAGATATAAACAGTTTAGACCCAGGGCTCATCCATATGCTAACGTGAGTCTCATTTGCAGAGGTACATGCTTTGAACAGAATGTTCTCTCCCTTGTAGCAAGGTGCCCAGCTTCATTCAGATGTTTGCCCCAGAGGGAGCCTTGGTCTTTCATGAGAAAGCCTGGAATGCCTATCCCTACTGCCGCACCAGTTAGTACCTTTTAAGTTATCTTGTGTGTTTTTAAATGGGTGGGGATGACTGTATGTTGTTCATGCAGTTACATGGTACAACATTAATCCTGTAAAGTTACCCAGGTATATCATATATATATATATATATATATATATATATATATATATATATATATATATGTGTATGTATGTGTGTGTGTGTGTGTGTGTGTGTGTGTGTGTGTGTGTGTATATAGGATATACCTGGGTAACTTTACAGGATTAATGTTATATATATATATATATATATATATATATATATATATATATATATATATATATATATTTGTGTGTGTGTGTGTAGTGACAATAGACTTTAACTACACCAGCATAAGACAAACCCGAAGCACAAAACATCCTATTCCACTACATCATGTTCATATTTTAATCAAAGACACACGTGAATAGTTCGTAGTTTTTTGGCCTGTGATTGTTTTTGTTCTGGACTGTTTTTTCTTAATCTATAAAATTTTTTTTTTAAGGCTGTATTAAACGCAACATGTACAAGAGCAATTCTTTTCACTTTTGAAAATCACAATTTTTTCTGTAAATATACCAGGAATTTGAGTGTTTTTTCATTACCAACTAGTATTTGTCCCAATGACAAGTCTTTTCTCTTCTTCTTTTCCCTGCTCCTGTATTGGATTAACATTGGAATGCTGCAGTTGTTACAGTAAGTGTGTGATTGTTTTTCTTTTACTATTATACCTTTTTTATGTGTGAAATTTGGTTTTGCACATTATTTTAAGATAAAACTGGTCAGCATTATTCCAACAGTGTAAGAATATTTAGCTTTTAAAATGCGGTATGTAATGTCACAGAAATGTGATCATTCATGGTGTGCAATGTACTCTCCAGAATGAGTACATGAAAGATGACTTTTTCATTAAGATTGAGACTTGGCATAAACCTGACATGGGAACAACTGATAATGTGAGTCTGTGAATTCATTATAAAGTGTCATATAAAGCTTTATCTTGGACGTTTATTTAACTCTATAGTAAAAGTAAATGTTAAGTCATGCTGAGTATTTTTAAGAATTAGTAGCTCATACCAATTTATCACTACATTTGTGAAATAGAAGCTCTGATTTTCTGTTTGTTGTCTGTTTGTTTATTTACCTTCCAGCCTCATGGGCTCCCCCCTGAGGAGTGGGAGGAGACTGAGGTAGTGCCCATTGATATTGCAGATCGTTCTCAGGTGGATGATGTGGTGAGTCAGACAAGGAACTCCATGCTGGTTACTACTCTGCAAATAAATTCATGCAAGCAGTACCATGAAACGCTTTGAAATGTAAATAAGCACTGTGCACTGAATTTTTTTGATGACATGTTTATGAAAGACAAAGAATGAGGGAGAGACATGATAATAAGCCTTGATATACAATGAAGCTGTTCATCAGTTAAGCCAAACCCAAGTCCAAGAAATTTAGGACAGTAGGTAAACTACAAATAAAAACAGAAAGAAGTTATTTATAAATCTATCTTAACCTGTATGTGAACAAAAACAGTTCAAACACAAGATGTGTAATGTTTTTTCTTATCAGCTTTATGTTTATATATAAACATGCTCATTCTGAAACTGATGCCTGCAGCGTGATCTGATAAAGTTGGTACAAACTTAAAACAGGAAACGCAATCATGTTTGGGTATTAAAGGAGCATCCAGAAAATGCTGAAAACCACAAATGAACACCCACAACCTTCGACCCCTCAAATGGAAGTGCATTAAAAATGGACATGTTTCTGTGATGGATATCACTGCAGAATACTTTCACAAGCTGTTGTGAGTAAACTTCATCCATTGCTGCATCCACAAATGCAACACTGTACCATGTGCAGTGGAAGCCATATGTCAATGTCCAGAAATGCTGCTGACCTCTGAGCTCAAGCTCATCTGAAATGGACTGATGTACGGATGTAGTGGAAACGTGGATTGTAGTCTGGCGAGTCAACTTTTGAGAATATTTTTGGAAGTAATAGACATTGTGTTCTCTGGGCCAAAAAAAGGACGGTCCCGGTTGTTACTAGCAACATATGCTGCCTTTTACATACTGTGTATTTCACAGACTTCCATGTATATTTCAACATAACGAAGCCTCATTCTGCACGTTACAACAGCATGGCTATGTAATCAGAGAGTGCAGGTGCTAGACTGGCCTACCTGCAGTCCACAACTTTCCCCCATTGAAAACACATCATATTAACCTCAAAAATACGTCAACAAAGGCCCTGTGTGGTTGTGCAGCTGAAGACTTGGCAAAGAAATCTGCTTTCAAAACTGGAGCAGTTTGTATTTGACGTGATGTAGGCGTCAAACTTGGAATCAAAGTAGATTTAAAAAAAAAAAAATGATATTCATAAGGTAAAACAATAATATTGTGTTTTTGTACAATTTTCAATTTAATATAGGTCGAACAGAATTTATAATTTACAAATAGCTGTTTTGTGTTGTTTCCCCCACCCCCCACATTTCACATACCGCCCTAATTTTTTTTTTTGGAATTGGGGCTGTACATGAAAATTTACATATTTGTCTTACAGGACTATAAGCCAGAGGAGGATCCCGCCATTTTTCACTCTGAGAAAACCGGGAGGGGACCACTAGGACCAGGATGGAAGGTACCTCTTGCTTATGTACTGCGCATCAATTAATATGTAAACACATTAAAACATTGCTAAAACATGCTGTTCTCATGTGGTCACTTCTTTCTCTCTGTTTCTCATTCTCTCTCTCCCTCCCTCACTGCCTCCTCTGTAGAAGGAGCTTCATAACAGTAACTGTCCTTACATGACTGCATATAAGCTGGTGACTGTGCATTTCCGTTGGTGGGGTCTGCAGGGCCGTGTGGAGAACTTCATTCACAAGGTAAGAAGATTTGTTATTTAGATGTGTTCTGTCCTGCTTCATCTTTTGTCTGTGTTTGAAGCTGATGTTGGCTCCAGAAAAAGTAAAAATAAATTTCTCTGACAAGCAAAGTTGGCAAATTGTCCACCGCAGAAGAAAAAAAACAGTATTCAGTGTTGTACTTGTAAGCTGTAGTTTTACCTTATTAGCTCATCTGAGACAGCCTCCATTACATTACTCAATACGCACAAAAAACTCAATTTCCTTTGGCTGTTTTTGAATAATAAAACACTTTCAAGTGTATTCTTTTGCTCAGTGCTAAATTTTTATGCAACACCAGTACTGTCAACTCTAAAAGTAAGCCACAGCTCTATTACTTTTAGCCTAAATCTGTTTTTTTTCCACTTCTCTGCAGTTAACTTGATATCCATTTATGAACTTTTACAGATACTCAAATATCAAAATTAGTTGAAATGCACATTTCAAGTGTAGACACGTTCAAACGGTCAAACAGGTGGAACTATTTCATGGTTTCTACAAGGGACATTAGACATATGATTTATAGTTTCTGTTCATGCCATGTATCAAGAAGGGGGTACAACACCCAAGGACTCACCACTTGAAAACGCATCCCGCTCAATATGCAGAATACAGCAGAATAACAGAAGCATAAGGGAAAGCCTGTGAGCTTGCAGATGCCACCTGTAACCTCAGTTTTTGAAATGATCAAAAATTCACAAACAACGGGGCCAAAATTCTTTGCTTTGGATGAGACCAACCATTGTCTTTTGTTGGATTTTGTGGCACATGCTGTAGCGTATGTAGTGTAATTATACATTTTTTGTGAACTCTTTTTTGTCATCTTTTTTGGTTTCAGCATGTCCTGACTTTCGGTTTTGGCATAAGAAGTTTCGTTTCATTTCAGTGCATCACCTACAATGACTATGTAGTAACGAATCTCTTTCTATCTATCTTTTTCTTTCTTTCACTCCGAGCAGCAGGAGAAGAGGCTCTTCACTAATTTCCACCGTCAGCTGTTCTGCTGGCTGGACCGCTGGGTGGACCTCACTATGGATGACATCCGCAGGATGGAGGAGGAGACGCAGCGGGAACTGGACCAGGTACCTGTCAACAACACCGCAACCTGCTATGTTGTGTTTGCTTAATTATTGTTTTTTTTTATTAGACCCAAGTATGTCAATGCTTGAGTACACCTCAGTATATTTACAGTTTTCAACCTGCTCGCCCTAAACAAGTCAAGTCTCCAGATTTTAACTGCAGTCCTCTGTAGAATGTTCTAAACAAACAGGAAAAGACACCAGTAGATCTTATAACACATGCATCGTTTCTCAGTTGTGATTTCTTGGCCTTTTTCTTATTTTATGTAAGTCACCATCATTGTTTCTGCAGTAAGTGCCATATACATACGAGAATTCTCTTCTTCGCAGATGCGTAACGAAGGATCAGTGCGAGGGATGAAAGCAGGAGAAGACTAGAGCGGAAATTAGTGAAGGACGGAACGAAAAAACCGGGGCTACTTTTTATTTTACCTCCTTCAGTCCTCACATGGCCAATCACAGTGTGCCACTTCACCAAGCCCTTCCGAACAGGAAACTGTCATCTCTTACCCAGGAAGTGTCCATTATCATCTGCGAGAGAGTGCGTGTGTGTGTGCGTGCGTGCGTGCGTGTGTGTACACGTGTATAAAATGTGCGTTTGTATTTGTGGCGGTGCAGTTTGACTCTGAACCTCATCATTTGCTGCCAAATTCTTTGGGATTTTACTTAAAATGTGTTAAGTAATGTCAGCGTTTCTTTTTATAATTAAGTATTATAACTGTTTTATCGTTTTTGGTTCATTTTGCAACCATCAGCTTTTTACTCAGTGTGCCAGTGGGGTCCTAAGGGCCAACTAAGTTTTACAAAAACGGTTTTGGGGACGCATTTCACTAAACATGTACTTCAACCATGAATAAACGACTAAGTGATTTACTCATCGCGATTAAAATTGATTATGTTTAAAAAAATTCTCAGTGGAGGAACTTAAACTACAAGAGAAGGGCGTGTGTAATAAAAAAAATACGCAAGTAACTGAAAAAAAATGTATTAAGATTGCTTGTTTTCCTCATATGAAACTCAAAGCACGATGGACGGAGCTTCTGTTTGGCTTTATTTTTTGGATTTCTCTCTGCACTGAAGGCTTCATGCAGGGTAAGCGTCCACGTTTCTGGGTGAGGAGCTGTGTGGATGAGACTGTTTTTAACTCGAGCGCAAGACCCTTGAAGCCTCTCCCACTTTTGACTGATGCGGCAGGCCACGCCTCACCACTGGAGTGAAGCGGGTCAGAACTTTTGGAACCAAGTCTGATTTACAATAATGTAACAAAAAAATAAAAACAAACATCATTGACTGTCACGAACTGTCTGTGTCTTCACATTCCTCTGTACTTTGGGTGCCTACACATTCACTTCTCAAGTAGTACGTGCAAGTCAACCAATTGAAGTTCATGTGATTTTTCTTGTATGACAATGCAGTGAGCAGAAGCCGGAGACTGCCATTCATTGTTTGTTTCTAGTCAGGATGTCCATTAAGTACAAGATATACATTTTCCTGAGCTATTTCTGCAGTGATTAGATACGACGTAACCCACATGCAAAAGGAAGGAAATAGTGAAAATACAAACCATGTAAGACCTTGTAGACCACCAAAACTGCCACTAATAGATGAAATGGATTTGGAATAACTGAAATTTGGGAGGAGGGCCTTGCCTAAAACCCCTCCTCCTTCCAATCTGTTGCACTAAAATCTGCCTTCTGTTTCTCATGACAAAAGTTTTTGCCATCCCCATTACCACCCACTTTCCTCCTTGTTCTTCAGTCCTATATAAGTCCCACCACAGTTCAAAAAGTGGGGGGTGTCTAGGCTAGGAACAGGAGCTGTTCAGAACCTCAAGTTCTCAAAGTCCTCTCCCTTCCCTCAATCTGTCTCCCCTCATACTACAACCACATGTTGAAGGCATGGTCTGAATTCACAAACTGTACTTAAAGCTTTAGATCTGAAAAAATCCACAGGTGTTTCTGTCCATCCTGCCACTCTGAGAAGACAACACTATCGGTCTGAAAGAATGTGTAGCTGTCAATAAGTTGTTCTTGAGAAAAGGACAGGACAAAAAAGTGGAAATTTGCACTGGACGTCTGGGATGTATAGTAATGTTTTATAGATGGATGAGGCTAAATTTGTACTTGGGAATTGTGAGAAGCAGAAAAAAACCTAACTTCTAAGACTGAACTTTGGAGGTGTGGAAAATTTTTTTTTTTTGAAAGACTGAAAGTCTCCTGAAAAGAATGGAAGCTGTAATAATGGCAGATGGTGGGCACAGTAAATACTGAAAAAAGATAGTATATTATGTAGTTGTTGAGGCTTCTGTGTAATATACTGTTAAATATAATTTTTTCTGCTTTTTTCTTGATGCTGAAAAATGAACAGCTTGTACGTAATGGCTGATTTGACTAGAAACTAAATAAATGAAAGGTTAGTCTCTGACTTTTGCGCAGTACTGTAGATATTTCTTAATACGTTTTACATGAGACTAGTAGCTACACTATTATGACAGATAGATAGATACATAGATAGATAGATATCAAGCCTGCTACTAATATTTCATGAAACCTGTTTACAATTACAATTTTAAACTAACCTCATGATGCCTACGTTATACAAAATATCATCAGACTTAAGGTAACCCCTTACCAAGCCATGGTAGTGCAGATGGGCCCAAATTTTTATCACACACTTTTACAACCTAAGAAAAGCTCCATTAGTTTGCATTGAAGTCACTGTAGTTAATAAAAAAATCCTTCATATGTAATAAGCCTGGATTGTTAAGGGGTTAAATAGTGAGTTTTTGACCTTGTCATAAATCATGATTATTGTGTAACGCATTTTTACTATCTTTTACATTTTCAATGGGGACTGTGAAAGCCTGGGTCAATTCTGTGTCCTCAGGCTTCTGATCCTATCCAGACAGGACGGACAAGGTAAAACTGACCATCAACATGTTTTCATTCTTGTGCTCTCTGTCTGCTTCAAAGTAGACAATAAATGGAACTATCAGATTATGGTTAGAGTCTTCATTGATTTAATCTCAGTGATCTCTGCCACAGAAATCTCATTAAACCAAAGAAGTCTGTGTTGTGTTGGTTTTGATATTTGACCTGGTAGTCACCACAAAGTCAACAAGATGATACTAACTTAATATACCAAGTAACATCAGTATAATATCAGCTTTCTCACAGATTATCCTTGGTTTAGTATGACAGAGTATGACATAAAAGGCTCATATCAAGGAAAACTCTTGAAAATCCTTTTAATGAAAAGTTTGACAAGTATATGAACATTGTTAAACATTCCCAGTCCATACAGACAAGCAGCATCATGCGAGAATTGATATCTTTTGCTGTTGGGCCCCACTACAGTTGCACAGTGTATTACATTTACACTGCTGTTGTAAATACAAATCCTCCCAACCTCCCATGGACAGCTGTACACGTGCACATCACACAGGCATATGGATGCTACAGGTTGCAATCTTTCAGAAATAACATTGGCAGGGATGCAACCTACAATCTGCTGTTGGATTATTGTTGTTTTCCCATTAGCCATGAGACTGTCTTGCATCCTTTCATCTCTTTTCAGCAATGAAAAAGCCAGTCTGAGGTTTACTCTTCTCCAGACTCTTGCTATGTCTCTCTCTCTTTTTCTCTTCCTTGATTCCTCCGACAATGTCTTCTTCAGTCTCTTGGCAGCATCTGCCACGATGTCCATACTGGGAATACTGAACTAGTTTCTTATAGCTAGCTGAAGCTATAGTTGTTGATGTGTGATGTGATGCTGTAAAGTGTTACACAGCTCTTGTGAGAGGTTTTGTGCCCACTTCTCCATCTCCAAAGTTACATAGCGCTGTAGCAGGCGTTTAGGGCCCAAAGTGGCAATGACAGAGATGCCATTCAGTGTATCATGAAAATGATTTTGAAGCTGTTATTTTAAGGTTAAATTGTTACAGAATGTTGCTTTAAGTTGCAAAAATTGCTCATTTTGAATTCATTGTTTTTGTGATGTCACCAACACATTTGTGTATATCTGCCCAAAGCAATTTAGCCCACCCATTTATATAAGCTCATAGGCATGCACGCGCATACAAACCCAGTAACTTTCATCACATGAGGATTTGGGGAATCAGGGAGAGATATTTTCATGGATTTTGTCCACGTTATACTCCTGTGATGAATGAGATACAGATTTAGCTCACTTTAGGCGACACGTGTGCAGGATTAGTACAGGGATTACAGACAGATGTTTTTAATCTAGCCCAATTTTACTGTTTACCTCGAGGATCCGTTCAGTCCTGTGCACTAGTAGCGGAATAGCTGACTACGGGGTGTGTGTCCCATCAGATGGTATCCGGGTGCAGCGCTGATGTCAGCAGATGGTATGCACCTTACTGTAACATCTGAGCAGATTTACAGTGCATTTTGGTCTTCAAGCCTTTCATATATGCGTGGCATTTTCCTTAAATGCATTTACATTGTACATATACTCTATGTGGGATGATAGGCCTACAGTGCTAGAGTTGGATCAGAAAAAATCAAGTTGACACAGTTTTCCCCTCACCCCAAAGTCTATCTACCAAGATATGCTTGGTGTCTGAGGGTTGGTTCTTTAGTTTTAGTTTTTTAAACTTTACTTTTGCACTGGAGCTACAAGGCTAATGTAGCTAACAAGCTTATACCTCAACGTATAGCATCAAGCAAACTGCACATGTGGATCAACACAAACCTCAAAATGTGGAACCTCAAATAGGTTGAGGTGAAAGTTGTGTAAATTATTCGCAGAACTATCACTTTAAGATTCTCCCTTGATAATGTAGCAGGAAACGCAGCCCTTGTTGTCTTTGCTGTTCAACGAATGTTATAGCCTAATGGGCTATAATCTTTCTTAAAGCTGTTATATGTAAGATTTTTCTTCCTGAAATTAAAAGAAGTAGCACAGGCTTAAAAAAAATCTGCTAAACTCTCTTTAAAGCTGAATTTTAGTGGTTTTGGTCTTGTCATTTTCAGTCTTCCTCCATGACCAGTCTAGTCAAGTAAGAGTTTTAAACTTTCTCCTCAGTAATTTGGATACAGTCTTGAAACTTTTTGGAGATTTTGATGGACCAAAGTGCCTCTAAGTTTGGTTGGTCGTATCTTAAATGTGTCAATTTTATGATCAATAATCACAGATTTTTTTTTTCTTATTTTAATGTATTTCAATCACTTCTCTATTGTTGTGGTATTTTGTCTTGGCTTGGCTCTCCTTTATATTGGCTCCACCCTGACTCTGCTGCACCTGGGCATCACCCATTTGTCACTGGCTGCACCTGTGTTATGTTTGTATGTAATGTTTGCACCTGTGTTGACCCTGTAATTAGACCCATTAGTTTTATCTTTGTAATGAATGGGGAGATGAGGCAAGATACATATGCAGAGTGACTCTATTAAGGGCAATGTAATACTCAGGCGTCAGTTCAAAGGCAGGCAGCAACAGTTCAGGCAAATCCATGTTAATAAAACCAGAGAACAAAACAAAGGTCAAAATACCAAAAGGACTAGGAATAATGTTACTAACAAAATGGCTTAGAAATGCATAGAAATGTGGCAATACTTTGCAAACAAACAAAGCAGTATACATATACAGGAAATAATGAGTTCAGAACAAGCTGCAGGTGAGTGTGATAATGAGGGGGTGGAGCCAGGGTGGAGCTGGAGCTGGAATGAGCCAATACAAAATGGGATAGTCCATGTGCAATCTCTCCACATGCTGTAGAAGGGAGGCCCTGTAACCTCCATGCAATTATAAGGTGTACTGTGTCTTCAGTTCTCCTGCACGTCTGTCCCTCATTCTCTGGTCATGCATAATTTGGTAATGTTATGACTCTGACTATCAATTTTGACAATGTCTTTTGGAAAAAGCAATAAATAACAACTGTACAAGTACCTCTGCCCACCTATGGCTTCCTGATCTGAAGTTTATTGATATGTATGGTTGTAATCTAATATTTTTCTATATTGACTTTTGACTTGTAGCCTAATCCTACAAGTATGTGTACCTTATTTTCAAAAGTATCTGGAATCTTAATACTGTCCTAAACCTAACTCTGATCAACTCTTACCTTCCTTGTTTATTTGAAATTCATAAAGGTCCCCAAGCAGGATGGAGATGGTCAGGCAGAAGACCAGTGGACTCATTTCAGCATGTAATATTCTGTTGTCCTGAGATTCAGCCTCTCACTTCTATAGTGAAACTGTTTCTGTAGGATCCATATGTACCAGAATCACCTTCAAGACTGCTGTTTCTTTCAGAAGGAAAGCTGGTACTGA